GGTAGGGTGGTAGGTGGTAGACAGTAAAAGTAAAAAATCAGAAAGTTGAAAATACGAAAGTTTTTTTGAAGGGGTTGACCGGGGGAGAGGGTGGGTAGGGGTAGGGTGGGTGGGTGGTGCAGAAAAACAAAAGAACAGAAAATTGAAAATACAAAAAAAAAAAGTAAAATTGGGGCAACTAAATAAATTTCTAGATAAGTTGGGTTGAGATCCCTTTGTTTTGGGTGAGTTTAATGGGTCACAATGGGCTATAAAAAATAATGTGTTAACTTGGGCTCAACCCAAATTGACCCATGAACTAAAATATTTGTAGCCCAACACATTAATCTCTTGGCGGGTTTGATGGGTTTGGGCTCAAATTACCATCCCTACACTTAGTTATCATTTCTCTACCTATCTAGTTGTATCATCCAGATACTGGTCTAACAAAACTAATTCTGCGAAGTTAGTGGCAGAAACCATCAGTTAAAATAATGTATCTTTTACATTCCTTATAAACCAGTCCCTTATTATCTCGTCATATAGAGTATTCCTCGTAATAATCCTTTTGCCTTCTCTTTTAATCTTGTATAATTCAGCATCGTTATCCTTGGCAAGAGTCACGTACTTGTAACCAATCAGAATAAAACTAGTAAAAGAGGACAGAATATAGACACTCAAATTGTGCTAGGCTGGGACTTTGCTTGCTGCTTGTGATTTTACTTGTCACATCACCTAGGTGATTACGAGTATACTCTAAAGTGGTGAATTTACCACGACATCTGGATGTCTGATTATATTCTAATTGAAAGTTACAGCACTCTTTTTCGAAGGGAATTAAAGCCTAAGGAGATAGGGCTCTTTCCAGACGAGCTGGTGTTCGATGGTGAACGAGAGATAGAGGAGCGCACTCTTCTAGGCCAATGGGTAGATTAGTGGTTGCGTATCTAGGGACTGAAATTACTAGACAAAATGTTTACATTGAGTGGGATTACACTGGGTTTGTGGTTGTTGTTGTTGTAATGTCCACATTGACCAACGTGTTCTAAAGAATTCTATTAGCAACGTGTCAACTCTTCACAGTCGTTTCCTTGCATATCCAAAAAAATCTAGAGCTGGGTTCAAGCATCCCCTTTTTGGGTTGTTTGAGTGAGGCTGCAATGTTTTCCTATTTTGCCTCTCCTTGGGAAAAATTATGAGAAAACAAAAACATCAATGATCAAAAGTCCAGATAGATGCCAAAACACTGCAGTGGCTTGAAGAGAAACGCTTAGGTGCTATCACGGAACTTGCTCTGGGAAAAAATGAAGCAGATAGAAGAGCTGATAGTTCCTTTCTTTCCTAAAATGTGAGTCCTATTTAGACTTGAGCTGGCAGCTTCAATAAGATCAAATGTTGTGAACAAGTCATAGCACCAATTTTGGCCAAGTTCTCATATCCAGGGACCAAAAAAGTGATTTCATGTCTCATGACATCCCGAGTAGTTTCCATTAGCTTTCTGTGTTCGGAGAAGGGTCATATTTACCCTTCTACTATTGAAAATAAGTTATATTTATCCCCCGTTTTAGTTTGTTAATAAATCCATCCTTACCGTTATACTTTAAGTTTATTTATACCCCTCATCCGTTAAATCTCTCATCCCAGCCTTAAAAAGCATGCCGTCATTGGACGAAAAGACGCGCCCCATTTTAAACAAATAACCCGCCCGACCCAGCTACTAAATCCAAGCCCCTATCGACCAAAAACTCCCTAAATTAAATCCCCCTTCCTCTAACAGAAAGTGGGCAAAAACTAAGGTTCTTCCATACACTAATTGGGTTCATTGAAAAGCTTTCTCTCCCACATGCTTAGTATATATTGTTGTAGAAAAGAGCAGAAGAACTGAGTGTGCATTAGAAAATAATTAAAATTCTTTGGATTGAACACGGGTTCGAGCCCGTGGAAGCATCCACTAATGCTGACATTAGGATAGATTATCCATCACACCCCTTGGATACGACCCTTCCTCGAACCCTGCGTGAACACGGAATGCCTTGTGCACTGGACTTCCCTCTTTGGATTGAACACGTTAATTCTATAAACAAGGCTTGGGAAAAATGAAAAAAACAATATAAGCAAAAAGAGTCTACGGCTGCCTTATCCGTGACTCGTGAGTAATGGCCAGCTTCAACTCTTGGCATTTTAATACTTGAGTTGTTAGTTGAAATGGATAATCGTTAGACTAAATAGTGCTAATAAAGAAAGAAGAAGAAAACAGTAAAGGAAGAAGGCGAGAAGCAGCAAAGAAAAGAACACTGGAATTTGGAAGGAGGGAAAAAGGTAATTTATTCATTACAGAAAAGGAATATTGTTTTTGGTCGATGGGGGTTGGGTTAAGTAGCTGGGTCGGGCGTGTTATTCATTTATGAATGGGTGGGTCTTTTTGTCCCATGACGACATGCCACGTGGATTTTTAAGGTTGGAATGGTGGATTTAACGGATGAGGGGTAAAAGTAAACCTAAAGTATAACGATAGGGATGAATTTAGTAGCAAACTAAAACGGGGGGTAAATATAGCTTATTTTTAATAGTAGAGGGCTATATATGACCCTTTTCCGTTCTGTGTTTACTTGTTTCCTTCAAAACGGTTGCATGCCCTCCTAGTTACTGAATCCAAGAGTGCTGACTTTAATTTTTACAATCAGACATTTCTATAACAGCATCCCTATATAATAGCCATTCACTATAAAAGCCAAATTTTCCTTAGAATTGATTTTTTATGTTATATTTTACCTCTCTATAACAGCTTTTTACCTATAACACCAACATCCATAATTATAATAGATCGCTCTTTGTAAAATTATCCCTCTATAACAGCTATATAGAATCTTTAAGATTACTAATAACAATTCTAAAAAAATGCACACAATCTTTTCCATTGAACAAAGTTTTTATCTTGCATAAGACACAAGATTTGAATATCTGCACATGATATATTTTTCATTGGATACCTTTTTTGCTGAGAATTTGGACACGAATCTTCGTCAGTTCAAGCGTTATATCGGTAGTAAGAAAATGAAATCTATGAAACAACTACAATTATAAAGTTCTTCCATCAATCTTCAAAGAATTTATTTTCCTAGTAGCTTTAAAATGTGTGCCTTACAGTTTAAATCTTTGTACGTTTAGTTAATGAATTTATTAATAATGTATTAGCTTTCTTCAATATATACCTAGTGAAATATGCATATCTTCTGAGATTTTAAATTTGAAGAATTTTCTTATCTTTTATATGTAACATTAAAAAAGAGAAATGATTGACTTTTGGATAAGTGTTATAATAGGTGTATAACAACCATTCGCTATAAAAGCCAAAAAATCTCGGAAGAAACGACGTTGTTATAGAGAGGTTTGATTGTACAGTCAGACCTCTCTATAACAGTATCCTTATATAACAACACTTCTCTATAAAAGCCAAATTTTTTCGGAACCAAATCTCATATTCTATTATAATATATGTTTTCTATAACAACAATTTGCTATAACATCCAAAAATATCTGGAACAAACAAGGGTGTTATAGAGAGGTTTGACTGTATTCACAATTTACAAATTTTGTGGTTACTTGACTAATTTATTTCACTTTTCATATCCATAATTGACTAGTAGCAGTAGGACTTATAGCGTACCAACATCGTAATCAGGGCCAATGCATATAATCCATTGTATAGGATCCGAGCCCACTGATACAGAAGCTAGTTGCTCGGACATGGGTGCGGGTGTCCGATACGAGTGCGGATCTAGAAATCAGATCCGTCGAGATGTAAATCTAAGATTCAGGGATACGGATCCTAGTATGGGTACGTGTGAGAATATCCAGCTAAAAATAATTCAAAATAAAAAATAAAAGTATCTCTAAATTATGATAAATTTTGTGAAATACCTATAGCTTGTAAAGTGTGGATTTTTTTTTTTTTATTCTCAAGTTGTAGATAAGTAAATGACTGATTTCCTAGATAAGGTATGCTATTCTCTTCAAATTCACCCCAATTTTGGTTCTGATTTCGGGAATCAAATTATATCTCGTCTCGCATTTTTCTATCCGTCGTGGTCAAAGTACCCAAAATTGTTTGACCATACACCCACACCCACACCCACACCCACACCCATACTATTGTCGTGTCGATACGGGTGCGACACCTAAATTGCCGTGTCGGAGTAAGTACTGAAGAGCATAAATTTTGTTCAGAACTTCTGAAGCACTTTGGTTTAAAATCTAGCCACAACTTAGACCTTGTATTGCATACTTACCCATCAATAATTGTATCTCACACAAATTTCTGTGTTTCAGTGTGACAGAGATCGTTCAACAATACTACAGCCATGTGGAAGCAGATAAAGAGAACTCTGCAGAAGTTTCGGACACAGAGGTATTTGTGTAGTTGAGTTAGCAATCCAGTTTATTCTGATTGAATTAGACTCCTCTCTGGAACTTGGAATACATCCACTACCTGTGTGCAAGTAATATCTCTACGTACGGTACCCTGATGAATATCAATCAATGCCATAGGCGCTTATTCAATTCCTTCAAAAAACAAAAACAAAAAATGCACTGCTACAGCGCTTGAGTGATCAATTGGAGAATATTTCCTATGAACTGTGTAATAAAATGTACCAACTCTCTGCATTTGAGTGTCACTTCCTGCATTGTCTAAAGACACTAACATGCATATCGGGATTGGTGTGTCACCGGAGTTGAAGGCCTAACCTACTATGTAGCGATTATGATGGTAGTATCTTGTTGAACCTAGAAAAATCTCTGATAGTAACCATTTTATATATAAAAAAAGAGGACAACCTCTGAAGTATTTTAGAACTTATTATCAATTCATTGTGTGTTATTCAATGTATCTCTTGTAGTCATATTTATAGTTCTTGAGTGCTGAATGTTATCTGTCCTTGTGAGGTGGAAATAGCACTCTAAATATGCAAGCTTCCCAACAATGGGAGAACTGTTACAAACAGTAAAAAGGTACTGACCTCATGCTTCTCTTTCATTTCTTGAAAGGAATACTGCTGATCTTCTGTCTCAATTTGAAAGGCAACTCGAGGAACCCGATGTTGATGGTCTCCGCATGACTGACCTTGTTCATTTGGAAAATCAACTACAAACTGCTCTAAAGCAAGCCAGATCTAGGAAGGTCACCCCAAGTTTCTTTGTACCGTTTTACTTCCCTATTTTACGTTGCATTATTTAGAACTCTGGTGCTATAAACTATACAGAAGAGCACCAGCTCTGCCCTTTATATTTCATCAAGGTAACTACGTAGCACCCGATACTAGGGAAGTATTGATATCACTAAATTGTCACTTTTTTCTAGACTTTACACCCCTACTAGTGTACTTTAGTAGTGTTCTCGTTCTTTATCCCTCTTGTAATCTTACCAGGTAATTTGTCCGTCTCTTGATTAATTTTCTTGTCCAAAAGCCAAGGTCTTAAATTTTTTTGTGATTTCACCAGCTACTCGTTCTACTTCCATTTACTTTAATTACTATACAGTCAAACCTCTCTATAAAAGCCCCGTTTGTTCCGAATATTTTTGGATGTTATAGCAAAATGTTGTTATAGAGAACATATATTATAACATAATATAAAACTTGGTTCCGGGAAAGCTTGGCTTTTATAGTGAAGTGTTGTTATATAGGGATATATATTTAGAGTATTTGCATATTTTGTAAAGTATATTTTGACATTTGCTTATTCTCGGATTTTTTTTAACTAGTTTGTTTTATGCAGATGCATTTGATGATTGAATTTATCAACAGTCTTCGTGAGAAGGTAGGTCTCAGTTTCTATTGGCCCAAATGTTTTTGGACTGACGAAAACATCTCTCAACAAATCACTTATTGGAGAACGGAAATATTTTTCCTAAAAAAGATTTATTAAAGATTAAAAACGATGTTAGCAAACAGGGCTGTGTACTAGTGAAGTTTTTCAAAATCGAGAGATTGATAATCAAGGGTTGGATACGAAGTTAAAGATTCTCATGCCATCTTAAATTCAAATGCTTAAGCTTAGGTAAATTCAGGCAATACTGATTCTTGATTAGCTGGACTTAGATATGTTAGGGAGATTTCCTGAAACAAGTGCCTTCATGCGTCTATTGTAGTCAGCTAGTGGTGTGGCAGAGGACAGAACAACTTGTGATTGTAAAATAAAAGTTCAAATCATTTTTGAGTGACAGTGAGATATAATTGATTCCTTTAACTCTGCGGAATTGACCTGTGCTCTACTGCTCGCAGAATATCTACTCTTTTGACCGTTAGTACTATTATTATTATTTGAGGCAGAACTAATGTGATGTTTAGTTACCGTTACACTACGCTTATGACCTTAAGACTCTTCTCTACAGGAAAAACTTCTTAGTGGACAAAACAAACTTCTGGAGGACAAGGTAAACGTTAGCTCACTTAAGTGCAGTCTGCAGTGATATCTTCCATTCTTTGCCAAATGACTAATATTCTTATGCCCCCAACAGATAGCTAAGAACAAGAACAAGAGAAAAGTGAAAAATGGGATGGCTTTGGATTTCACTAACCTTGCACCAGCCAGCATGAATTGTCGACAGCAAAGAGCGACCCTGAATTTCCTCTAGTTATTCTGGAAAGTATAATATTCCTGTAGAGGCTCAATCGAAGGTTATCTACAGCATATTTGTAAATTCCCATTTGTATGAAGAATCATGTTGTACCTGAAACACTGGAAATAAGGAGACTACTGAATTAATTTAAGATATTGGTATAATCTTGATAAAGAAATATTTAAATTAAATGGTCATCTGTAAGACCAACTAATTCATTGTGACCGTTTTGAGCTCTGCTTTCCCATTCATACGTGTATGGATTCAGTAATGTCCCATTCATTCATACAAGGTATAACTTGTATAAAGTTTATACCATTAGTTGTGACACAAGGGAGGGGATTGCTTAGTAACTGGTTACTATGTACTAGAGTAGGCGTGGCGTATTTCAACACACAGATCGCTGCTTTATTAATGGGCAAGAAAGAATTCATGTAGCAATAGCAAAACCACAGAACCAGCCACATATCTACTACGTCGACGAATTTGACAAATAGATTACCAGCGACGCAGCTGCTGCGTCAATGAATTTAACTCACTGGCACTGCAAACTCCAATATCTAAATGCCCAAACAAAATAGGTTCTAGAGAATCATTTGTTTTTTTCTATGTATGTATATTTTCTTAATTGCTCAATTCTTTGTACTGAAAGAGCGGAAGATTGTACAAACCTATCTACAAAATTTGCTGACTACATTATGTATTATTATTAGTATTATTATTATTATTATTATTAAGTTAACTTCCGTACTGTCAATCCAGTTATTACTTTACACCATTAAATTGAGACGATTTACAAAAACAACTACCGTTATAGACTATATGATACGCCTAATTTATTGATATTAAATAAGATAATAATATATTATAACAAGTTAAAATACATTAAATATGTAAAGATCAAGTACGCTATCAGTATTGCATTTGCTTCTTTTGATTTAACTTGTCAGTAATTGGTTATTAGTTAGCTTAAAAAACAATTAAAAAATACTAATTGGTTGTTAACTCAACGGGTTTCTTTGTTGCAACAACTGGAAGTTTCCATTCCTATAGTCAAATAACTTTGCGAATCATTTTTTCGAATTTTCAAGTATTTTAGTTTTAATAGCGAACTTCTTGGATAGCTAAATAAAAGAAAAACTCATTATCTTTAATAGATTATTACTCTACTGTCCTATGATAACATCTAAATTATATATGCTCATACTCTGACAGTTCAATTACTACCAGAAACTTAGAACCAGCACGAGGAAATATAAATAATAATACGATTACTATTCAATTACGAGTTCAACCATACTAATTTACTCAAATTCGATTTCGAATCGATATTCAAAACTCAATAATTCACATTAGGAAAGTTTAGACAAAAACCCCCAATTTCTCTTTTAGAATCATCAATCAAACGCCAAAATCGAAGATGGAATCATGTAATATAATCAAATCCGAGTCAAAAATACTTATCCCAATCCATGTGATGAAAATCCTCTCCAAAATCGCCCAAAACCGAGCTCCAAATCTCCAAATGTGATAAAATGAACAAACTCTTGAATATATAATGTTCTGCCCAGACATTTTCGATATGCGAACAAACAGTCGCTTCTGCAGCGTCGCTTCTGCGACAAAAATCTCGCTTCTGCGGAGCCAACTGGAAACCCGACACTTCGCACCTATGAAAAACCACGCGCTTCTACGACACTAGTCCGCACCTGCGCCAAGAGCTATGCAGGTGCGATAACACTAGATCCTGCCACAAACCAGCCTTAAACAATAACTTCCAAAATGATCCTAATCATGTCCGTCATGTCCGAAACTCACCCGAGTCCCTCGAGACCCGTACGAACATGCCAAAAAGTCCTAAAACATAACGCGTACCTACTCGAGGCGTCAAATTACACATAACAACACCAAAAACACGAATCGCACCTCAAATTAAACTTGAACTTTTGAACTTTCAACTTTAAAACTCGTGTCGAACCTCATCAAACCAACTCGGAATGACCTCAAATTTTGCACACAAGTTCCAAATGACAAAACAAAAATATTCCAGCTTCCGAAACAACAATCCGGACCCAATAATATCACAGTCAACTCTCGATCAAACCTATGAACTTCCAAACCTTCAAATCGGCCAACTTTTGCCGAATAGCGACGAAATCTTCTACAAACATCTAAATGCAAATCCGGGCTTATGCCCAAGTCTAAAATCATCATCCGGACCTATCGGAACCATTAAAACTCCGATCCGAGATCAAATATACAAAAGTCAAACTTGGTCAACTCTTCTAACTTAAAGCTTCCTAGTTAAGAATCATTCTTCCTAATCAATCCGGAACCACTCGGAAACCACAACCAACCATACACGCAAGGCATAATGTATCATATGAAGCTACTCATGAACTCTAACCGTCAAACTAGTTGCAAATGCTCATAACAACCGATCAGGTCGTTCTATTCTCCCCCACTTAAACATACGTTCGTCCTCGAACGTGCCAAGAGTCGTAAACAAGCCATTAAATCACTGTATAAACTCATCATACACGTGCTCATGGATGATCTCACATCACCCCAATCCAAATAAGCATGGCAACACAACCTAGCTGAAGATCCTTACTTTAACATTGGTCTATAAGCCTTAGAATCAAATCTCCGACACCCGGAATCCATTTCAAGTCCTGACTCAGACATCTATACATTGTATAAGACTGAACTAGCTGAATCAATCCATAACCATACCCGAAACATAATCACATGATATACCACATATCTAAGATACTCATAGCAATAACTTTCGACCACAATAGCTGCTCAATAATGAACCCGACACTGATAATAAACCTCATATCAAATAAAACCTTGTCCTAAACCTTCGTACACTGCCAATGATGAAAGAAAAATGTAGAAACTCATAACCACTCATCACATCAACAAGTCGTGGGGCTCTCTCTCTCTCGCCCTATAAGAACCATAGCCAAATTGTAAGCTGACTAGGGACATTATTCTTCCAAACATACTTTAATCAAGTCTGATAACACTCACTCCAAGTCCAATAACCTCATCTCATCCAGTATAAGCTGCTCGTCCAACACGCCACACCAGCACCACCTCGAGCCACATATCGTGCAATTTGTGCACCAAACAAGCAACAACTCAAATGTACCCAATAAGGGGAAAGAGAATCAAATGAGATAACCGTCCCGCAAGCTCAACAAATACCACAAGGCACAACGTTATGAACCCAACACACAATGAGAAACGAAACACATGAAATAAGCACAAGAATCATATCCCAACATAACTCTAATGTGATGTGTTACCCAATTCAAGCACCGGTCCACATGGAATACCTCGAGCCATAATGCTCATAATGAACAACCATATGCATATCATCAACAATACACGAAGTGCATGATCACAACCATGGAAAAACAGATAGCACAATATACCACAAATCAGAAGATCATAACCAAGGTGCAATCAACCATTCAACACTCCAAGAGCCATATCGCTTGAATTCCGCCACAGGACCTAAACAGAACCGCCTCATGTGTGTAAATAGTCAAAGGTCTCACACCCATTGTAGCATAGAAGAGCAATACATGAAACATAACAAAACACGAATAAGATCAACCCTAACCGAGGACACACCCATCAACAATAGCTGTGCGGAGTAAATAACTCTGACCTAATGTAGAACAAACATTCTCATTAGGCGTACCAGTGGCCTCCAATCGATTCCGATCCTCCCGAAATAGGTAGATAACCTTCCCAAAGATCCACTAAAATATATCCATAACACATGCCATCAGTTGTCTAACTCTGGCCATATCTTTATAGTGCACAACTAAGGAATAGTCCACCTTTGAGACTCCAGTCTCCAAATCACAAAAATACAAAAATCTCAATATCTGATTCCAACTCGACCGCCCAAATAACTGACACATCTCTCAAGCACAATCATCTCACGAGAAATACTTCCTTAATTCTTCCATGCCACATAGCAAAATCTGAACATCATTAGTCAACCAACCAGGCGGTTACCGCAATACCAATCAAACATCTGCAAGTCAAACACAATACACCCTTCTGAAATGTACACTCTTCTCAGGTAATACCAAATAGTGCCAGCATAACTCTAAACATCTTAAGCCATCTATGCCTTCTAGAACTCGTGACCTTTCCTTCAAAACTAAACCGCAAATTCGTACATGCAAATCTCAATCCCACACGACACACTGCCTCAATCATACCATCATAGGAAAGCACGAGAACCCCTTTATCAGCTCCCAATCACAAACAGGATACACATTTCGTCAGCCAGAATCCTTCGACTTGACTCCCATAGGAGAGTAAATCACAACACGCAACGTACTCCTCATGCCGGTAGAAGACATCCGTCTTTGGCGGTGGTAGAAATCATCAAGAACTCTTCGAAACCCATTAGCACAATACTAAACCATCATAACTGAATCCTTCTAACTCAACCAAGTCACGCAGGTCGCCAAACCCAAGAGTATTGTCATAAAATACCGGTAAAGCCTCACCACATCATAAGAAGCAAAAGAACCACTACAAGAAATCAGGGCATTTGCGATGACTTTTAGTGGCGACCGCTTTAGGTGCTGCAAAAGGTTCAATTTTAGGAGCGACCAAAAAGCGGCGACAAAATGTGGAAGCTTTAGTGGTGACCCATATAGTCGTTATAAAAAGTAAAATATTAGTGGCGACTTTAAATAGGTCGCCTGTTATGTATGATAAGTTTTTATTTTTCCTTGGAAAAAAATTTGGCCGAAGAGGCATTTGTAGCGACCCATCAATAGTTGTGTAACGACCCGGCCGGTCATTTTTAGAATTTACGCCCCGATCCCCTATTAACTGCTTTCCCCAAGTTTATTTTTGCTATTTTGAATTGCCGGGATGGTCGGTTTTGAATTTCAGAGAGTTTTGGGACACTTAGTCCCTAAATGAGAGCTTAAGTGTTGGAAAGTTGACCGTAGGCGGAACAGTGTGAAGACGGCCTCGGAATGAAAATTCGATGGTTCCATTAGCTCCATTGGGTGATTTCGGGTTTAGGGGTGTGGTCGGATTGTGCTTTGGAGGTCCGTAGCTAATTTAGGCTTGAAATGCCGGAAGTTTGATTTTTGAAGTTTCCAGTTCAATAGTGAGATTTTGATCCGAGGGTCGGAATGGAATTCCGAAAGTTGGAATAGCTTCGTAGTATTGAATGTGACGTGTGTGCAAAATTTCAGGT